GTTTACCCCTGGGTATGCGTGGGGCTGGTTATGGGGGAATGCTCCATGGCCAGTTTTGCACTTTTGGGGCATACACAAAATACCATAAATTTGAGATGATTCACTTGCACGCACGTCTCTCTCTTGTGCAGTTTTCCCTCTTTTTAAAATTTATACTTCAAGGCTTCTCAGGCTGTTTCTCAGCATATGGCCAAAGGGTTTATGAGGCTATGAAACAGGCATGAAAAAAGCTCCATGTTTCATTTGAGTGTTGTGTGGTTTGAATAGTTAATGCATGCGTATGCATATTCAGAGCTTTGCATCAAAACCCCTTGCATATCATTTGTGTGTAAATACAGGTTTCTACCACTATACAGACAGCTAGTATCACATTATTTCTTATTCCCCTACTTATTCCCTGTGTGGTTTGCAGGTAACAGTAGTAGAAAAATAATGTGATTTTCTATTTTTATAGGGGCTCAGCAGTTAATGTTCACTGCCAGGCACACTCCTTTTCATGTCTGGCAGCTCTACAGAACTTGGGTTGTGTGACTAAACTGTACTCATATGAAGCATGCTATTAAAATGGGAATGGCTGTTCAACAGATTAAGGCTTCCTAGGCTCCAAGTGCTTAAGGTGAATTTAAAGAAACCCACTGAAACAACTCCTTAGGTAGGTTAAAAAAACTCCACAACACCTGGCCCCCAAGCTTGCCCCCTTGTCCCATGTAATAGATATATTTAAAGTCAGTCTGTTGTTCAGCTGACACTTGGAGTGGTGTAAGTGGCTGCAGCCAGCAATAGAAGTTCTGCATTAGCAGCATTCACAAACCCCCACTCCTTTTTTGCCACATCATTTTTCATCTTTTCGTCATTTTTCATTTTCATCTCATCCACTCTGCTCTGTGCCCACCAAATCCTTGTGTTGAAAGGAAGGTGTCATGGTACAGGAGTAAAGGTGAACCTGTGGGGGACAAAGGTACCTGGGACTGGAGCTTGAGGTTTGGCTTGTTAGACCAGAAGTCACAGAAGTTTCTGAGACTCCCAGATTAATGCATTTACTAAATAATTTTGTACTAAATAATTGTTTACATAAACAATTCAATTTTTACAAGGCATTCAGAGATACCCCTTGTTGTCTTTGTTTGAGAAGAGCAGTATTGACCTTTTTGGCATCCAGAAGAGAACAACTTGTTTAATTGCAGTATTTTCTTGATCAATGATTACATTGCGCCTTTGCTTGTACTGTTGAGATTTGTTGAAAAACATCTGAACCAAAATAATAGATATATTTTGAAGATACATATGTGCACACCCTGTGTGGTTTTTTTGTGTACATACACATAAATATGGGTTTCAAATACTTTAGTGTAAATGACTGCTTCACACATTTAGTGCCCTGGTTGTTTTGGGTAGCTGTAATTTTAGCCTTTTGATCTCACCTGTTAAACATTTAAGTATTTTAAATAAACTCAGTGATTATGTTGGGAGTTAATAATTGGGGTTTCTGAAGTGCTTGGCCCAGCAAACAGATCCCACTTTTTCTAGTTTGGGAAAGGATTCTTCTCATTGTTTTCCAGAGTCACAGTATAAATTTAGAACGAATGATGTTGCTGATGCATAATGGAAGATTTGATAGTTAGGAAATCAGACTAATAAAGACCAAATGTGGCTAACAAAGATTTAGTGAAGGAAAACGAGGAAAAGCCTTCCAACCTGTGTGTTGTGCTGTACAGGCAGCACTGATACAGATACAGAGAGATTAATCTGGTCAAGATAAAACTAAATTACCATGCAGTAGGAGATTTTTGAAGATGACTGTTTTTGTTTCCATATTAAATACAAGGTCAACAGATTACAGACAAAGGGCAGGTCTGCCAAAAGAAAACAAAATATTTCAGAAATGATATCAGAGAGAGTGGGTGTTGTGCAATGCCACGGGGCCCCTCAAGAAGGGAAAACCAGAATGTGATTAATAAATAGCTGACCTGATTGCAGGTAATTTATTACTGCGATTAGTGCTACATAATCCTTTTCCTCAAGGAAGAGAGAAGAATTGAATGAGACTTTCTCTTGCTGCTGCCCTGGCTTCTGATGTGTCTTAGTCCTGAAAATACCAACAGCTGTCTTCACACCAATTGCAAGAAATACTCTCTGGGTTGCCCCTATAGATTTCAGGTGCTTATATAACATGGATAATGCTCCATTTATGTGTTTTAATAATTACTGATGTCACCATTGGTTTGCCTTTGCATGTCCTGTGTTCCTTCAAAGTAAGACCTTATTTTTAAAATGTCAGGATAGAAAAGACACTGGGCAAAAATGCTCCAGGCTTAATTTGGCATAATATCAGCAAAACGTGCTGGTTTTCAAGTCTATCAAAATAAATGCAAGTGTAAAGCTTGGACATGTATCAAGTAAGATGAAGAGTTTTCTGTGTTAAAGCAGGCAAATGTTGATAACTTAGCAGAAACCTGAATTTAACTCCTCCATCCCACTTCTCTGAGAATATTATCACACCTAGCTTGTTTTGGGGGATTGATGGTTATGACAAGTGTATCAAATTTCATGCTGGTGGTATCTTTTATGTTTCCTGGGAGAAGAGAAAATAGCAGTTTTATCTTGTGCCCGGGAGTCACAGAGAGCAGGAATTGTAGGTACATGCCACACAGAGTTTTTAAATAAAAATGCATTCCAGAGCAGCACGTAGTAGAGATGGGGAAGGGGAGGAAAGTGGGAAAGGAGTGAGTCAAAAACTGTAGAGGATCATTTATTGCATCTCCCCAGCTCTTATTCTAATGCAGCACTGCAGAGAGTTATGAATATGTATTTTGTTCAGACCTGAGGTGTCTATGAAAAACATAGTCTGCTTGGTTTTTTTCAAGGGATTTGTAGCTTTTTGGTTTTCCATCCAGAATTCACTAATTTTGCAAAAATGATGTTTGCATGCATGCCTCATGTAATTCCTGTTTCTGTGCTGTAAATGCTGAAAAAGCAGAGGGGTTTGACTGGTTCCCCTGTAAGTCCTGTTTAGGGGAAAAGTTAATCTTGTTGTATATACTTAGAGCTTTACTCTGAAGCTCAATTTAAAAAAGAACCCAAACCCAAATAGTTTCAAAAGTTGAAAGACAAGTTTAAACTAGCAATGCCACTTCTGTTTAGGAGAACTGTACTCACAAGAAATGTGTAGCATCTGATTTTGTCTTCCCTGGGACAGATGTGAGTTCCAGACCTGGAAGACAAACCCACAGATTTCCATTTCATTTTGCTGCCTTTATGAGGGGGGGAAAGAAAGAAAGAAAAAAAAAAAAAAAAACAGAAAAAAGCCCCAAAACAACCAAACAAAGACAAACTGCACAGAAATCCCCATAACAAACCCAACCATTTCTAAATGATTCTGAGTAATAAAGACCATAATGAAGGATAAGGTATGAGGCTAAGAAATCAGGCTTGTGCTGAAGGCAGGAGCAGTTAGCTTTGATGCAATCGTACGTGTTGATTTTTGGCAAGTCTCAGTGGGACAGATTTTGTAAGAGAGCCTAACTTCTGTGAAGACACCACAGTATGGGACTGCATTTTTAAGGGAGCTCAGCACCCAGTATGTTTATTTGGAAGATCTGGCACTGATTGCTGGTACCAAGTGCTTGAAAATCTGTTCTGAGCTCCAAAAATCTGGCTCTGTGAGTATGATCCATGCCTCCTTCCAAACAATGGTATTAGTTCCCCTGAATTGAGGGGAGCAAACATGTGATTCTTTACTTCTGATTCTGATGGTGAATGAATTAATCAGATTTTCCTTTTTCCTAGTTTGTCTTATGTGGCTGAGTTTTATGATTGTTTCTACTTGTGTGCTTTTTACAAGAACTGAGATACTGCCATAAACATAACAAAAATAATAATAATAACATAAAAGTATGTTACAAATTAATTGAAGCTTTGGGGAATAGACTACATGTCAAATAAATGTGGATTCTTTGCTTCATTTTTGCCAGGGTCAGGATTAAATGTGTGAGATGGTATTTTTTGTTCAGACTCAGATGTTTATTGGTTCTTATCTCTGTTCCAGTCTCACAAACTGTGAGTTCTGCAGCACTTCAGTTTAACAAACTAAAAATGGAGCTCCATCTCTCTCTCTACAAGGCCTTTTAAGGCTAAACTGTCAAATTAAGAAATGATATGTAACATATTTTTACTTTTAACCCAATAACCAACCACTCGTGCCTGCAAGGTGGACTTTTTAATTGAATTACACAGTACTATCTATGAAGAAGGAGGTGAAGAAGGAGCAGCCTCCACCCTAAAACCTCCATCTTGCTTTATATATATTACCATATTCTAAAACCTTAAACTCCGAGTTTTCCACCCTGTGATATCACACACTTCTATTCAAACTCCACACCCACAATCCCAGTTCTGCCATTCCATTTTGGAAGCCTTCTCCACTGCCTCAGGTCAATGCAGTGTTCTCCTGGGGGTCAGTGCCTGTCAGCACAGAAGGTCTGAAATTCTCAGCATCCAGGGTTCCAACAAATAAATGCCACTGGAATACAGATGAATCCAAATAAAGCCATAATTTTAAAACCACCAGCCCCAGCAGTGTGCTCAGGTGCTCTCAGGATGTGGCTGGCAGGCATCCTGCAGTCTGTGCTCACCTGCCGGGCTCCTCACTGCAGGTCACTCCTGGGGACTGACCTGGAATAAAGCCTGGTGGTCCATCCAGGGGAATAACCCAGCAGTGGTGTTGCATGCCCCCTCTGGAGCTGGTTTGACTCCCAGCAGCTGGTGTTGCTGGGCCCTGCAGCACGGGCTCTGTGCTGTGCCGTGGCTATACATGCATTTTTTTGTGTGCCATCCCTGTGCATTTTGACCCTGTTCCACTGAGTGCAGGAGGAGCAGCATCCGTGTCCTGTGCCCAGCACGGAGATGCTCCCAGGCCTCGGGTGTCCCACTCTGTCACTGCTGGCTGGCTGCTTGTTGTGGGAGGAAATGTGCTAATGAAGTCCTCTTTTTTGTTATTTCAGGAAACCTACCATATGAATATAAAATAGTGATTGCTGGGAATCATGAACTGACATTTGATAAGGAATTCATGGCAGACCTTGTTAAACAAGATTACTACCGCTTTCCCTCTGTGTCCAAATTGAAACCAGAGGACTTTGACAATGTTCAGTCACTCCTGACAAATAGTATTTACTTACAAGATTCAGAGGTAACAGTTAAAGGATTCCGAATATATGGTGCCCCGTGGTAAGTCTCAATTTCAACTTTCTTTGCTGTTTATTGCTTGAACCCCAGCAGGAATCATTCCTGTTGAACCTGCATGAAGCTGCTTTGTTGCATTGCCCTGCAGAACAGAATCAGACTTAGCTGTAACCATTCTGACACAGTTGCTTCTCTTTTCTTTTAAATTTTTTTTTCCTTTTCTTTTTTGGATAGATAATCTCTGTTTAGCCATGTGTGTGAAATAAGACAAAAGGAACTGTAGCTATTTCTGTTCTGCCTGCTGAATGCACCTGAACTGTGGAGTCAATACTGACTCTGTGCTTGTGGATGAACTGTGGTGGCATTTTGGGACATATTAGGGGAACTCCATTACATTCTATACTGCTGAGCTATTTATATCTGCTGTGCTAATAGATTGGTGTAGTGGCATTTAACACCTACACAGCACAAGGGCACAAGGCAGCAGGTGCTTAAACCTTATTTTTGAGCAGTTCTGGGCATTGTTTTCTTTTGCTTGTAAAGCTGTGATAACAGAATTTCAAACCGCTTTTGGTCTCATTCCACCCATGTGTCAAGTGTGTCATGCAGGAAAGATTGCTGCCCAGTTTTGTGCTAAGGAGTTCCTGCCTTGTTTTTTCTACATGTCATTTAATTATGATGCCTGACATCTTTCTCTGGAGCCTTGGGTAGCACTTGTTCTAAATTCTCATGCTGAGAACAGCCGCAGTCCTCTCAGGCTTTACCAGAGACCTGAACTTGAGTGATGGTGATAATCACTCTGTTGCTTGGAATTCTCAATTGTCAGCAGAAGCACCGAGATGCTAATTTATGCACACCTATAAGAAGGGCTTATTATGAGCTTATAACTTATTTTTCATGTCAGGCTTGCTTTAAAAGTGAAAGCAGGAGAGGGGTTGAACCAGAAATGGGACAAACCTACACATGCATTAGGAATTTTCCCCTTCAGCTCATCTTTGTTGCCTTGGCCTGCAGACCTTGGTGGTTGGTGTGACACCACACACGTTGGTGCTTCTGACAATGCTTTCTCCTGGTCATATTGTATGCATCAGTGCTGGCTGGAAAGCTGTGATCTAGCTCTGTATCTCATTCTTGACTTGAGCTGCTAATCTTTTAATTTAAGTCATAGCCTTTAGCTACTAGTTTAAATCAGCCTGACATTGCTCAGCTAAAAAAAACTGTAATGCCCTAAATCCTTGCAATATCAGCAAATTGGGAAAGATGATCTTAATTCAGGTTAGGAATCATCTCCTTGAGACATTTCAAAGTAATTTTTTTGTAACAGCAGCACAGAAGGCCTTGGGTAGTGAGGTGGGTGTGAGGCTTGCTGCAGGCTGAGGAGCTGAGGAAGGTTTGCTGCTGAGGTTGGGATTGTGTTCAGCTGCCTTTGTGTGTGTGCATCACACTTGGAGGGCCTCTGCAGTGATTAGGGAGGGCAGGCATATTTCCACATTTATTTGGATCACATTTAATGAACTCAGCTTCCTTACAGCACTCCTGGAGAACACGGGAGAGAACCGTGTGATGCACCTTTACATTTATACATACTGGCAATATATCATGTTCCTTTTCTTTTTTTCTCCTTCCCAAAAGGAAGTAGTGGAAACCTGTTATCCTTTTGTCTCCAGCTGCATTTGGGAGTTCTTTCAATTTGCAGGTGTGCACATGGATTTAGAATGTTTGCTCTGGACTATTAAGGGCCATCACATCAAGGCCCTGAGTTGTCTCAGCTGTAAAAAGTGAATGGCATGTGTCTCCTGGCCTAGTCATGGAAGACAAACCTGAATTAATCTTTCCTATAACCCATTGATAACTGGATTTTTCCCATTAGTGATGCATGAGAAATGAAGCTAGATTGTTAGAAATTGACGCTGAGCTCAGATCAAGTGAGGACCTCTCTCTCTCGGTCTTCATTTGTGTTTGGCTGCCAAAAGTTGTTGTCAAATCATGTCTTGAGCAGCTCTTGGTGTGGAATTGAGCTGTATATTGAGCTGTATTTTCAATACAGCTTTTTAGATCAATCACCAAGTTTGTGTTAAGAGCAGAAACGTGGTGTTGTCCATGCATTTCCCTCTTTTTTTTTTTATAATAATGACAGATTTTAGAAAATGTGAAAATTTGTGGGTTTTTTTGGTTTTTTATTTATTTATTTATTTATTTATTTATTTATTTATTATTTTAGCGAGTCTTTCAGAGGAAGGAAAAGTCCTTCCTCTGAAATATTAGTAAAATCTGCTCTAATTTTGTTCTGTGCCTGGAAACTGAGAAAGAGTGATCAGACAAGCATTTTACCCCTCCTTAAATTTTATACTCTCTCTCCTCCAATCACATCTTACTCTATTCCTATAAATTTTCAGATTACCCCAAATGAGGAGAATTTGTGGGATTTTGTGTGTATTTACAGCCTCCTTACCCCAATTAGTTGTGTCACAGAAATGGAGCACTGGTCATTAACCCCGAAGATGTGCCAACCCCTAACAAGAGATAAGTTGGCATGTTCAATTTATGTGCAGATGCGTAAGTATTTCCAGAGGGGGGGAAAAACATTTTCTCATTTGCTGATAAAGCTACTGGTTTTAATTTAAAAAAGAGGGATCAAACCAAGAATAACAGATGTGATTCTGGAGGTTTGAGCCTGTCAGGGGTTTGTAAGAAGTAATTGCCAGAGTACTGGGAAGGCTGGCTATAATTCATCTATCTAGAAAATGTAAATTGCCAACTCAGTGTAAATACAGAGATGAAATATCAGTTCATATTCATTACTTGTTATTACTCATGGTACATCTAAAAGCTTTCTAAAGACCTAAGAGAATTCAAGTAGTGCCTCCTAACTTACATTTTAGCAGGATTTGTGAGTGAAAAAATGACTTGGAATACATGGGAGCATTGGTGTGTGTTTGCAATTGGAATGTGCCGTGGTGCATAACAACAGCCTCTGAGGAGCAGAAAATTTGAATTTAGCCTGATAGTTCTGAGAGCATTAAATGGCATTAGCTGGAGGGAAGTTGAAAAGAAGAGTCTCAGCTCCTAAAAGAGAAAAGTGCAAGGTTGGGACATAAATCGCATTCAGAGCTCTGCTCATTTTCTGAGGTGAAGAATGTAACTGACATTTTCACACCTTAAATAGGAGATTCTTTGATGGACCTTGAAGGAGCAAAATGGCTGAAGATCTTCCATTTGGTCTGTAGATAACAACCCACAAAAACATTCCCCTCCTTTCTCTTCCTTCTGACTCTGCCCTATGAACCTGGCTTGTTTGCTGGTAAAATAATTGATAGTTTATGCAGTAAAAAATTCTGTAAGATTCCAGTGAGAATGTTTCCTCCTTGGGAAATTCGAGATTGAGGTTTCCTATTAAACAGGATGGAAAATAAAGCCAGTGATGGATTTATGAATTTTTAAATCTTCAAACTCCCTCTGTGAAGTAAACATAAGCATAACTCATGCTGATGTCTCTGTGAAAGGGTAAGGGGAGACAGTCTGTTTTTACTGCAGCTTTGGGTGCTGAATATGCATAAGTGAATTAGTGTAAGTTTTACTTATATTCAAATGTATTTTTAAAATTATATTTGAAATTGTTCATCCGTGCTGAGGGCTGAATTTACCACAGTGTGCTGCAGACATTTGGATACAAATACTCTCACAGTGTGTGTTTTCTAATGAAGCTTTAAAAGAACTCAAACCACCAGAGAACTGCAGTTAACTGGAGCCAGAATTTGTTTAAACCACATTTTGACAGAAACAATTGTTCAGGGAGAATATTTTTCGCCGTTTTGTTTTGTTCTGCTGATCAGCTCTATAGGTAACTTCTGTGTTTTTCTGCCTGTTAGAAACAGAAAATAGTTGAAAAGAAAAAGTATTCCTAGTATTCTAAAACTATTCTTCGTATTCTAAAGGTACTAAAAAGTATTCTTATTATTGTAAAAGTATTCTTTAGTATTCTGAAAGTACTTTGTGTGCATCAAAATTTGTGATTCTTACTTTTATGAAGAAGGAGGCAATAGGCTTATTTATGGATTTTAAATTCTGTTCTGCATAAGAATTTCACAGAAAAACGTCAAAAGCTGTAAGTGAAAAATTATCTAACAAAGCAATCCTTTACATCACTTTTAGCTATGGAAATATGTGAGCAAATTCCACTCACAGAGTGAGAAGTAAACCTGGAGGTCTGGGACTTTGAGCCTACATATTTGTTTAGATAACTGGAGATAGATGTATCTTTTTGAAGGAAGAAACATGCAGTGTGTATATATATATATAATTGTATAAAAATAAATATCTACAATATAATATATAAATATGGATGATAATATATAGGTAATATCTATAAATAATAAGTATATATACTCTCAGCCTATATATTTGTTTAGATAACTGGAGATAGATGTATCTTTTTGTGCAGTGTAATGTATATATATTTATATATAACTATGTGAATAAATATCTACAATATAATATATAAATATAGATAATTATATATACCATATATAAAAATAATAAATAGACTTTCAGCCTATATATTTGTTTAGATAACAGGAGAGATATATAGCTTTTTTAAGGAGGAAATGTAATGTAAATATCTAAATATATATATGGATACCTACAATATAATATATAAATATATATAATAAAATGCACAAACATATAAAATATATATATAAATAATAAATAGATAGACTTTCAGCCTATATATTTGTTTAGATAACTGGTGATGTATCTTTTTGAAGGAAGAAATGTGCAGTGTAAATATATATATAAATAATAAATAGATAGACTTTCAGCCTATATATTTGTTTAGATAACTGGTGATGTATCTTTTTGAAGGAAGAAATGTGCAGTGTAAATATATAAAAAATATATAAAAATATCTACAATATTATATAAATATTGATTCTATCTATCTATCTAATATATAGACTTTCAGCCTGTATATTTAGATAACTGGAGATGTATCTTTTTGAAGGAAGAAATGTGCAGTGTAAATATATAAAAAATATATAAAAATA